TGTACACTTTCTGTCCTAATCCTGAATATTTGTGCCAGCAAATCTTCCAGCATCTCTGGCGTAATGTTTTAGCAGTGCCAAGGCAATGTCTTATTTTGCAAGAGCATCCTGGCACTGTTTCGGTGTAGCAGTTCACTCTAAAAATGTATTTGCTGAAGTTAGGGTTGCAAGCTCTGGTGTGCAGGGTCAAGGAGCAGAGTTGTGGCGAAGCTGAGAAGGGAAGCTGGGGGTCCAGGGGGTGGAGCTGGACCTAATAGGATGGGCTGTTGCTGGAGCACAACCTGGAGGGTCTGGGAAAAGGCAGTATGAGTGTGAGAGTTTATTGCAGGCGCAGGAGGAACTTTGAGCCTCTCTTGTGCTATTAAAGCCACATGTGACTATTGTTAATGCAGGCTGGAATGCACAAATAAATCTAATGCACATTGTCACCTATGTTTGTTTTGCATTCACGTTACAGATAAAGTGAAAGGCTCAAAACAGCTTATGGGTGAAAATGCTCAGAGTCTTGAGACTTAAGGGTTTCACTTCCAGGGCAATCGCCACTGCCTCTCTGTCGTTGTCATGCTTGTGCAAGATGGAATTTCTTCTATAAATCAGCCAGCTGGTCTCTATCTGCATGCAGCTGTTTTGTTTCCCAAATGGCCTACCTTCCTCCTCTGAGAAACTAGGGTATTGCTTGCTTCCCTGCTTCACCAGGTGTCTTTCAGGACAAATAGTTCACAAACTGCCATAATAATAAAGTGATGATACATTTTTGAGTGCTTTGGACTTTTAGGAGTTGGAAGGCAAAGCTGTGAGCTCCTGAGAGGCATCCGAAGGTTGTGGGTTCACACTTCACTGTATTCATAGATTATTTCTGAGTAGCTATGGTTAAGATTGCATGTGCATTGCCCCTAGATGTGCAACTGCTGTGGGTTAATATGATTTTTGCCTAGTCGTAGTCTGTGTAACATAGGGAGGAACTTTAGTCTCTGTAGTTGCATTTAGACATTTCCAAGAACAAATCTAGCCTGCTCCCGGTCTTGCATGTCCCCCCCCCCCCAATGTAGCAGTGAGACGGGACATTTCCAGTTTAGACTAACAGTAGTTTAGCATGCCATCAAAGCCCTAAACTGTGGCTAATTTTAACTACAGCTAGTAAGAACAAGCTACTGTCATAACCTAAGGTTTGATGTTGGCATGTCCACTAACCGTAGTTAAGATTAATCACAGTTAGTCGGAGTTCAGATAAAATGGTTATAAAAAATAGAAGTGACTTCTTGCAGCTATGTCAGAGGAATGCACAAACCTTGGCAAGTTTTCTGCACCCGAATTCTGTGTATGTCAGTAACAGCCCAAAAGCTATTTGAACAGAAACTAGTTTCCTACTAGCACAAATTATCCAGGGCATAATAGACTACAGATATATTATGTTTGTTAATCAGCTTCCTGTGCTACTACTGTATAGTCTTGTTTGGGAGTTCATATAACATGATCCATATTGCATTAGGGAATCCCCGCACAGAGATTCCCTGCATAATTTAGAACTCTGCACAGTCAGGAGGATCCAGAGGAGGAGATTGATGGAGCCAAATGACCCTGCTCTTCCTTTTATGCAACAGGAATTGTGTGAGCTACAAGCACCTGAACAGGGCATGTTTTCATGGGAAATGTAAAGGAAGAAATGCTGTTTCTGCTTTTCACATATAAAGGCACAAGGGTTTTCTCACCCACAGTTATGTTTGATATTTTGGAGATCCTAACGAGGCTCTTGCTTTAAAGGAGAAATGTTAGGGATTGCCGTACTTTGCTTGTACGGCTCCAAGTCTCTCATCTAAATTGAAGCAAGCATTCTTGGCTGCATCTTCTCTTTTCATTAAAAACATTGCCTGAGGGCTGTAATCCAACCGTGGGACTAAGCCCAGTTTTAGGTCACTTATGCTGGCCTAAGTGCGTTGTTGATTCAGCACCACCGTACCTTCCAAGTATGGTGACTGTCTTACGTTTTATCGCATCAGAAGATACTGTGCAAAGTCAGTAGTTCATTTTGTCATATACTAGAGACACGAGGACTCAAGCTGTACCCTCTGATGCAGAAACTTGTCCTTCAACTTCAGGGACATTGGCGCCCATTAGTAAGAGGAAAATGTTTAGCAGGTGCTCAGAAGCTATCTCTTTCTTACACCATACGTTCCAGGACTGATATGTATCATTCAAAACAGGGCATGGCGTTTGCTGTGCCTAAGCTATATAGCTCATCTGAACTTCATAACAGAACCACACCTTTCTGCTTTACATTACTGTGGAATTAAACTTCCATCCTTTTGTTTCTCTGTCCACATTCTTGTGGACTAGAACCCGCACTCCACAGTCCCGTCGTACATTGAAAGAGTAAAATAGCTTCACCGGTTTACTACCACTCTCGCATCAAAAAGTGTGGTTCAAGTGTGTGTCTTGATAACGAATAAACCTTAAGGCTGAGATGCTATACTGCACACACTTACCTGTGAGGAAGCCCCACTGAATTACATGGGTTTATTTCTGGATAAACGTACCACACATGTGCTTAAACTGTGTACACGTTGCTGGCTTAAAACGCTGTTAGGTCATTCTTTTCCTCACTTCGGATAGTAGCTGGTAATGGGGGAAAGCACATTAAAAAGCAGTATTTTGTAAGAAATGACAGGATAGATAGAGGACAGATATGTATTATGGGTGATATGTACACCACTTCGCAAACCACAAATGGGATCTCACTGGATGCAGAATAAACAGGCTTGTGCACACTGACCGAAGCTATGCAGCCCAATCTTATGCATACTGCTTAATGAGGCTTACTGCAAATTTTTAGGGATTCTCTTTCCCCCTTTCCCCTTATAACAGGCAGAATCAAACTTTGGAAGGGGGAAAAACTCATCAGCAATACTTTCATCTTTGTGCGTGGTACAATAAATAAATTGCAGAATTCTTTTCTAAGTGAATAGGCAGTTTTATATTGTCTTGCAAATAAATAATCCACTTCGTTTTTGCTCCCTTTTCTTCAGCCTCAGGCCCCTCAGACCACGCCCCTCAGTAGCTGCAGATGTCATTCCCAATACAGTGGCACCTCGGGTTAAGTACTTAATTCGTTCCGGAGGTCCGTACTTAACCTGAAACTGTTCTTAACCTGAAGCACCACTTTAGCTAATGGGGCCTCCTGCTGCCGCCACGCCGCTGGAGCACGATTTCTGTTCTCATCCTGAAGCAAAGTTCTTAACCTGAAGCACTATTTCTGGGTTAGCGGGGTCTGTAACCTGAAGCGTATGTAACCTGAGGTACCACTGTATCAACTAAGGTTGTTTGTTATTCCTAGACACGCCTACTCGGGAGTAAGGTCCACTGAACTCAGCGGGGCTAACTTGCAAATAAGCATACTTGAGGTTGGATTGTAGATCTGCAACCCTAGACGCGTTTACTTTGGAGCAAGACTCACTGTCTCAGCTGAGGTTTACTTAAGAGTAAATACGCAAGTAATTGATCTCCACCGGCTGAACCTTAGGTTTGAATAGCGTTTTTAAAACCCATGCCAGCCAAGCACCCCTCAACTCCACCCATTCCCCAGATCTATTTGTTCGGCTCTTCCTTCGGCAAATCTCTTTCCTCCTTTCACTTTCCTTCCTACTGGACTTCGCTCGGCCCTTCGGCGCCTCCCCATCCTCTCGCCCCCTTCTTCGCTCCAGATCCTCCCTCCCATGCCTGTATCTTGAAAGCGGGCTTGCAAATCACTCGCCCAGCGGGGCTGGCGGGGTCGAAGGGAGGAGCCGCTCGGCTGAGGCTGAGCTCGATCGGGCCAAGGAGGGTGCGGCCAAAAAATGGGCTGCTCCTACGGGTATTTCCTATAAGGAGGCCAGGATTTCTTTGGGAGGGAAGTCCGTGCATGTTGGGACCTACGTTTGCAGTTCTGGAAATGCTACTCCTCGAGGACATAAGAAGTGCGCGTGTGATGATGGTGCGAAAAGGCACTCTGCGCATGCTTGGGAGCGCGGTTTTTTTTCAGCGCGATTTCACGCCCAGCCGGCTCAGAGCAATTACCGCAGGCTGCAAAGCTGAGTCGAATCCACACGCAGTCAGTACACGTGGGATTATCGCGCGTCGTCCCTCGCTCGTGGCAGCCCAGGCTGGATCGTGACCCGTCTGGCAAAGTTGGGAAGTGCTTCCAAAGCACAGCTCCGTAGGCTTTCCGGGTAATTCGTGGAAGCAGGGCCCGTTCACACGAGCCCAAGACACGACACGTGTCTTGGGCTCGTGTGAACGCGCCCGGCTTTCCCCGCCCTTAATCCCAGAAATGGAGACATGCTAACTTAGTCCTATTACGACTCCCATCGTCGCGCTCATCCCCGGCGACTTTTACGGGGCAGAGGAAAAGAAAAACGGAGAAAACCTTGCCCAGCCACGCATGCATTTCTCCCCACCAGCTTCCAAAAAACACCGCCTTTTGGCCATTACCGGCCTTACCAATGCCCCCCCCAAACCCCATTGTTTGGAGGGAAGCCCTCCTCCTCCACGCGCGCTCGGGGCTCCCTCTGCTTCGGCGTCATTCAAGAGTGATGAATGGGTCGCGCGGGAGAGGCAGCGTCTTCCTCTCCCTAGCGCCACCATGCTCACCCCAAACACCACCTCCCCAAAGGATGCGACCCCAAACCACAACATGGGCGCATCCCCCCCTCAATCAATAAAAACACATAGCAAACTGAGGTGTCCCCCCCCCAAAAAAAATCCTGGCTACGCCCTTGCCTGGGAAAAAAAAAAAAGAATTCTCCCCGCCAGCTTTTATTTTAGGTGGTCCCAAATTTCGGAAAGCTCACTAGAATGGCGAGAGAGAAAGCGCGTTCTTAAATATATACATATTAAAATTTCAGAGGAAAGCCGGCCGCCTGCCCCATCCTCTCTCCCCTCGCAGTGGAGGAGGAGGAGGAGAAGCGGCGGCGGCGGCGGCGGCCCAAGCCACGGTGGAGTGACTGCGTTGCCGTGGCAACCGGCGGAGGCAGGCGGGCAGGCCCCAGCCGCCTCGGCTTCTCCTCGGCGCGGGGTGTGTGTGTTGTGTATGTGTGGGTGGGCGAGCGAGCGAGCGAGAGGCAGGGAGCGGGAGAGGCGGCAGCGAGAGGCAGGGAGAGCGAGAGAGGAGCCGGGAGAGAAGGAGAAGGGAGGCCGGGGGCTGGGGGGCGACGACCCCTAAGTGGGGGGAAGACAAGGAGGAGGAGGCGGCGGCTGAGCTGGCTTCAGGATGATGGAGGACGGCTTCTCCAGTTACAGCAGCCTCTATGACACCTCCTCGCTCCTGCAGTTCTGCAACGGTAAGAAGAACGGTGGGGAGGGGGGGGAGAGAAGTGGGGTTTCTCTCTCAGATGCACACACGCCCAAGGATTTGGGGGGGGGGTATGTGTGGCAAAGAAGCCCCCGCCGTCCTGGCTCCGGTATGTTGCCTTGCATGCAAAGTCCTGCTGCTGCTGCTGCTGCTGCTGCTGCCTCCGCCGCCTACTTCTGGCCAAGTAAGGTGGATTGTGTGGGGCGAGAGGAAGACGCTGCCCAGGGGAGGAACCCACAAGCTACCCCACCAGCTCCCCAGTTATCCCAACCCGGGTGAAGCGCGGCGGGGCCTTTGCTCGGCTCGCCTATTCCCCCCCCCCCCCGAAACTGGGGGACACGGGAAAAGAGGAAGGGAGGGAAGGACTTGGCTCCTCCAGAGCCACAACCCTGTTTTTGCCTGACAGCACAGCAGAGAAATAGTTTTCTGTTCCTGTGTGTGTGTATGCATGCACATATATATATATATATATATATATCTTTGCATGCTTGGGAGAAAGCTCATGTCTGCTGTGCAGAACTCTCCCCCCCCCCTTCTGCTTTGCAGGAATGTGTAGACGTGTGTAGTGGAAGATGCAATACAGAGTTGGAAAAGAAAGTGAAAACTCCCCATGTTGTGTGTTTGGGAAGGGATTCGTTTCCGCTTCTTCTGGGGTTGACTTGTAGGGACCACCGCTTTGTGAACCGAAAGGCTTGTCTGGGGCGACCTCTTTTCTGTTTTTTTGCAGACCTTTTGGTTTTGAATGAGCGAGGGAAAAGCCTTCCAAAACGTCCGAGGAATGTGTATTTGCCAAACCATATTTTTCATATGAATCGTTGACGTTTTGTGTAATTCTGGTGATGGGTTCAGTTTGTTTTGAAGGCAGCACAGTGTGGAAGAGGTGTCGTTCCTAGTGAGGCTATTTTCAAAGTAAACAGAAGTCAGCTTTGAGATGGAAGAATGCCTGTTTCTAAGTTCTGTAGATTCTGGCATGTTTCTTTGGGATTATGTTAAGTCAGCTAAATTTACAGTAAACTTTTGCAGTAAAAATTTACAAGGCAGGGAGAGTCGCTTCCATTGGAGGAATTAATGTTCAGTAACTGGCTCTATATTATTTATGTGGATTGCTACTTAGACAACATTAGTGGGATCATTATTTTTTAAAAAGGACTCATTCTAATAAAATATTCTTACACTGAAGGAAAGCCTCACTGAACTCAGTGGCACTTGCTGCTGAATAGTCCTGGCACTGTTAATTGCAGAGAGCTCTGGACTTGTGACTTTAGAGTTTGTTTCTCGCCCCCCACCCTAAACCATGATCACTAAATAGCAGCAGGTATCTTATAACTCTTAGTAAAATGTAGGCAAATTTTTATTGCTATATATAATTGTGTGCCTGCTGTCTGGACAAGAAGATATGCGAAATACTGTATTTGTATAGTACATTATTAGATTCTATATTTTTCTCAGTATTAGAAAACAGGAGGAGCAGATCTTCTAAGTCAGAGACAAAGGATTCCATAAATCAAGGTACAGGCAAAACAGCTCCCTGTATCAATAGCATGGAAGCCCTGTTGCAGAATAAAAATTCTGGAATACATCTCTGTAGATGTGCTTCATGAAGTCTGTTGTTTTCTAAAAACACATTAGCTAATTAGCATTTTTTGATGGATCATTCTCCATGCCTATGGTTTTCCTCTCTCGCAGAGAGCACAAATAGTCTGATTCACCCATGCCTTCCTCATGTGCGTTTGGTTACAACAGGATTAGCTTGTATGATAAGATGTTGCAGAACTGGACCCACAGGCACTACCCTGAAGAGATTGGATGATAATGGTACACAGAGTCTGGTCCCTGACAAAACAAATCAGAGGTAATTTGTTACAGGGCTAGTTTAGAAGGAAAGTGGTTGACAGGTGGGAACTTTGGGAAGGTGTTCTAAGTATAGAGAATTGTGTGAAGGATAGTAGAAAGTTGTGAATGCAGAGTTAGGGATTATCCACAAAGCCTCTTGTCCCATTCCATCCCCGCCCTGGAAAATCACACTTTTGAGCAAACAGCAATTTGGGTTTTCTCCAGATTGATGTTTGTTCCGATATAGAGCAAAAGAGCAGGTTTTCCCTGGGAAAAATGTGGGGCAAAGGGGAAACTGCTCAGTGGGAGTGTGGACAAGCCCTTAGCTTCAGAGAGTTCTGTTATTTAGTATGAGGAAACAAGGGATGCTGGTGGCGCTGTGGGTTAAACCACAGAGCCTAGGACTTGCCGATCAGAAGGTCGGTGGTTTGAATCCCCGCGACGGGGTGAGCTCCCGTTGCTCAGTCCTTGCTTCTGCCAACCTAGCAGTTCAAAAGCACGTCAAAGTGCAAGTAGATAAATAGGTACCGCTCCAGCGGGAAGGTAAACGGCGTTTCCGTGCGCTGCTCTGGTTCGCCAGAAGCAGTTTAGTCATGCTGGCCACATGACCCAGAAGCTGTACGCCGGCTCCCTCGGCCAATAAAGCAAAGTGAGCACCGCAACCCCAGAGTCGGTCACAACTGGACCTAATGGTCAGGGGACCCTTTACCTTTATGAGGAAACAAATTTGAATGAAGCTTTTGCAGAGAATGATAACGTTTTTAGAAGCTGATGGAAAACAGCTGAAGGAGATTTCAGAAGGAAGTGAAGCTGAAGGCCTAGTTCAGACATCTCAGTTCAATAAACCATGGTTTATTGGACTAAGAACTACGGTAGCTTTGTGTCCAGGTCCCAGGCTTGTGATTTGTTTAACCACAGCTTCCTGTAGTATTTGAACTAGGAAACTATGCATTAAGCACTACTTGTAAACCAGTATATGTGGGGTTATGTGGCAGGAAGAGGAAGGTCAATGAGTGGTGCACAGGCTATAGTTTATCAGACAAAGTTCCTTATACCTGAACTGGTTGTCTGTGGATCAGCAGTAGGACACAGAGAGATGTCGGCAAGTTTTTGTGTTGTGAACAAAAATGGGAATATGCTTGAGCAATTCAGACTGAGGGAGAGAAAGGCATTAATACGTTTTGATGGAGGATATTTTAATAGCAAGAATTATGAGAAAATGGAGAGAAGTTGGCTTTAAATCTTTAATGTTCAACAATAAATTTTCTTCCTTGTAGTGGGGTAATGAAATTGCATTCTTAGTATCATATGTGGCCTATCATCATGAGGTGTTTCCCTTAACATCTCAGTCCTGTCTGGCAGGTTTACAAAATACTTCATTCTACAAACCGTCCAGGATGGCAAAGCAAGGCTTTGTTTGTTTGCATTGAGTTCTAAAACTAAGACTCTTGGGAGTGTGTGTATGTGTCAGGAGGCACAGTTTCCTACCCCCCCTGGGTTTTCTGTTGCTTTACAATTTTTCATTTGTCACTTAAGTAATCATTGTTCACTGTAGCTTTATAAGTAGGTTTATATGACACTACTGTGACTACTCAGCTCTCATATTTTGGGAGGGAGGGGGATAGGAAGACTTATTTTAAACCACACCAGCTTAATATTATGAATATTAGGGTGAATGTGGGTGATTCCTAATTGAATGTGCAGGTGAAAAATTACAAAGATATTTATTGCAAAACAAAAATCCAAGTGGAAAATCAGATACATACACGCTAGTCGCCAAATGGCTCCTTAAACAAGGGTTACAGTTGCCAAAGTGGAAGGCCTAGTTGCCATTTTTGGGCCAAATGGTTCAAAAGCCGTATTTTTCAATACAGTACTACTTTTTGGTTCCTCAGATTCATTCTGATTGTGCAGATAAAATATATCAGATAGAATTTCTGCTCTCCCACCTTAAACTAGTAAATCTTGCGTTGTAAATAGACCATCCCTGTTCTTTTGAGAGAGGCACAGGAATGCTGCTGCACATGTATGTCTGCTTGCCTGCCTTCGCCTGAGAATGCAACAGGTCCTCTGTGTGTCACTTTTACTTTATAGTACCAGAGCTATGCAGGTGCTTTGCTGATTTTATAGCGACAGAGTGTAGCACTGAAAGTCAAGAATGCTGGCCAGAATTTCCACTGGTCATCAGTAATATGCTGTTCAGCCCACTGTAGAACGAACAGCTGCTTGGGTCTCCTTCAGTAAGAGGGCCATCTCTTCTCTTGGTTGTGAGTCGAGGCCCCGTCCCCCGCTTTATGATGAAATAAGACACATGGACACAAGTATTTTAGGTTAATGGGCTAAAAAAGGCCACAACTTTATTGGTTACAGAATTTGAGTGGTATTGGCTTAGGCATTGGATCTGAACCGACTATACTTGACTCCTGCCCACTCTGCAGGAAGTCACACAAGGGTTAACAACCTATAGGGGGAGCTTGTTGATGCAAATGGCCCTAGCCACCACCTGGGCTTCAGACAGGAACCACGACCACCGGATTCCTGTAACGGAATACCCTTCAAGAGGAGGAGTAGGTGATGGTCACAACCTCTCCTCCAACACACAACACATTTTCCAGTGCCTAACCGCCAAACCTTACAAAGTTGTGACGGTTTGCTACGAGGTAGGTGAAAAACCAAGTGGCTGGTACCAATCTGCCAAGTGGGAAAAAATCCTACCAGGCCCCTTCAACAGGTGACCAACCGATGTCCATAGCAAGGTCAGGTGTTGAATGCATGGGGAGAGAGGGAGATCTGTGCGTGCAGGAAACAAACTGGCTGAGCCACAGTGCCGCGCTTGCTTAAGAGTGGCAAACCATGCTCCCCCTAGCTCATCCGCACTTCCACTTGCCCTACTGTTTCTGTCCAGGAAAACCTGGTGTTTACCGCTGAATCAGAGCAAAAGTCAATTTGGTTGATGTTTACTCTGATTTACAGTGGTACCTCGGGTTACAGACACCTCGGGTTACAAACACTTCGGGTTATAGACTCCGCTAACCCGGAAGTAGTACCTCGGGTTAAGAACTTTACCTCAGGATGAGAATAGAAATTGTGCGGCAGCAGGAGCCCCCATTCGCTAAAGTGGTACCTCAGGTTCAGAATGGTCTCAGGTTAAGAACA